AAGGGGTTTAGAAGTTGAAGTATTAAGGCCAGGTAGTCATCTCAGACTTGAGAGAGATTCATTTTAAGTCCCAAATATACTCCAGGGGCTATTATTCTATCCATTTTGTCCGAACCAATGAGAAAGTGCATAATATGCACATGCGCATTTGAGCAAAGGCTTGAAGACAAAATTTGCATCTCATAGCACTTCACAGCATTCAATCCAAACTGTCATATATCGTAGCTACATTTTATAAACCAGAGTTTTATTCTTAGTCTTGCGCATGTGCATATGGTGCAAAATATTGGAAGCCAACGGACCTCTGAACAAATGCTGGTTCGTTTTCCCACCAACAAGTATTTTTGTTTTTAGATTTCAAACCCAAACGAATTTTGTGTGTCAAAAGGCCAAAATTGTTGGAAGACGAACCAAAGGAAATTTTTTAGTGATTGAGATGGCCCCAAGCTGGAGTCACAGAGCATGCAAATTGAACTCGGTCATTACCAACATAAATACGCATGCTCTTTGACTCTGTTATCAAGATGCCCCCTTTTTGAAAATACTTTCTCTTGTTCGTCTCCCCCAACAAATAAGGAAACCATTATTTATCAATTGTAAGAGAAATGCAAGATTTTATTTTCTGTCAGTAATGTATTACCCTTGAGGCATCAGGCGTAGGCAAGGATGCCGTGCTTAAGAGTTAGGAAAGGGGGCTTTCCTGTAGGCAAATTCAAGAGACAACACCCGTAACCAAACCCACTACCACACACAATATACTTGAGATTGTGTTACAGACTCTATCTTGTGTCAACGAATCATTCAAACTATTCAATGACACAAAAAGACTGATAAGAAACTGCTCATTCATGAGAAATCTATAGTATGATAAAGGGTTGCCAACACAAAGTTCGTCCAACCAAATATGATTCCACTAGTTAATAGGGGGCTGAGCCCCCCAAAATCTCTCTGAATTTTAAGAAGGAGGCTGGGCCCCCTGAACCCTCCTGAGCCATCCTGAGCCATCCTGAGCCCACCTTCATGGCACCACTGGGCGTAGGTATAATAAATTATTCGTACATGAAGCGAGAAGGGTAGGTAAAAGGCTGTTTGGGTTTCTGCTACAAATGTTGTTGTTTTCTTTATCCATTGAGTCCAAGATGCTAAATTAACCTTTTTATAGTGAAAAGGGGTGATAAGCCAGGCAAAGCAGGTTTTCGCGTAAGAAAACTTACTATTACGTCTTTTATACTGGAGAGGTGCAGCTTCAATATATTACGTAACGTAATGTTTAACCGAAATGTCAAAATTGTCGTAACGTATTTTCTACTGCCCTTACGATACCGTATGCCCACTTGATGATGACATCTAAAGAAATTGGATACAATTAGAATTCTAGCCGGCCTAAAAAAATAATAAAAGTAAAGTGGTCTAGCTTAGCATAATGCTAAATATTATTCAAAGTTATACTTCGTAGCTGTCGCCTACTTTTTAAAGATCTGGCAGGACTCAAGTGTGCTGAGATAAATGTCTCCACAGGAGTACTTTGGATGTGTTGCTCGTTTCTCATACGTATATTAGGGACAGAAAGCGAGACAATAAATTATATATTTTCATAGATTCGCATCTTCATAATATGACCCTGCGGAAAATTTTTCAAAGACTATACGGTTCTATTAGCTTGTCTCCTATGGAGACAATTACAAATAAAAGATCTCTAGATAATCTTAGATTTATGTATTACAACAAATTCTAGTTGAATCAATAATTCTTATAAGTTTTTTATTCATGGCTGCCAAAGAACTATTCATTTAGACCTTATTCATATATACATTTGACCTCATTTTAAAGCTATGTTCTAAATCAAATTATACCCATTTCAAGAGTTTCTATAGAATCATATATTCATTTAAATTAATTACACTGCTTAAGACTATTAACAAACTTTGTCTCTTCTCCAATGTGAAATCATAGCTGATTTTTAGCTATATTGACGAGGCAATTGAATTTTTCTCGTTTCCCTATTTCTACAATTATTATGCCTTCAGGAAAATCTAAAGAATTTGATGATAGTTTAAATGTAAGATCAATTGAAATTTATTTTAAGAAACCCAAAGCTTGACCTGTCGTTAATTTTCCATTCGCTTCCTACAGAAGAAAATTTCCTTAAGAATTGATGCTTCTAACAGAAACATTTCTGTGACGTTAAAGTCTATGAGTTCTAATAGCTGATATTGTAGACATTGATAAGAATGAACCATTTAACTTTTATTACTGGGTGTAGGTATTTAGGTTTCTGTATGAGTTCTCTCTTATAAGAGATAGTGCTTTAAATTATAATATTATTTCCATGATCATGCGTTTTCAGGCCAGCTTTCGCCATATCAAGCGTTCCCGAACTTGAGACAAGCCGGAGCAGACCGTTTTGTAAAACTCCACCAAACCATTACTTTGAAAATCTCGACACCAAGTCCGGGAGAAAAATTTTTCTCTGTTTTCTTCCCACATAAACACAGGTCAAATTACTTTCGATTCATAAAATCCCTTTTCAGTAAAAACGGTATGAAAGAATCATTCTTAAACACGGCCGATTTCAAATATATGTTTAAGGATAGCCAGTTTTATTTAGTCGACCACTGAAGTGGCATTAGCTAGAAATACTACTAAACATATTTCTATTCATAATAGTTTGCATTTGTAGGAAAGGGATCAAGCACTGTTTGCCAACTGAGATATAGAATAAGCTTGCATCGCCCGTTTTGCAGCATACATATTGAATTTTGTGGACTTGCTACCGTGCAAACAATATGCGAGAGTAATTATAAAAGATCAGTACAAATGAAACACGAGGATATATACCTCGATGTAAATGAGTGCTCTCATCAAATAATTAGCTATTCTTTAGCAAACCTTAGTCTCTTGAAATAGCTTCAGCATATCATGGTCTCAGCATACCCATTTCATGGGCTCGACACAGTTTGGAAAGTGAGAAGGGGGGTGGGGAGGGGGTGGAGGCGGGACAATTTAACACACATACTAAAAGATTTTGAAAAAAGCTCTAATATTTTGCAATGTGAAAGCTCTATTGTTTATAGTTAATGAAAATTGGAAACGAAACATTTGAAGCGTCATCATTTGAAACGCCTAAACTTTCTATCTTAGAAAATAGTCTATTTTTTAGAGGTATATACTTCTGGTAGAGCTCACTCTAGTAAATGAACCTGACATATATTGTTTTTCAAACTTAATCAAGTAATTGATGATCAATGATGGTAATATATGAAAATATTTCATATGCAAAAAGCAATATTTCGTACCTTGATTTTCTTAAGTCTTTAAAAATATCTTTTATTGAATGAATCATAAAATTTTGGTTAGTTAACCTGAGTTCAACAGTTTTAACTAGGATTGCTTGTGCACTAAGGTCAAATCCTTTCCTTAGGAGAACTTTCGTCTATCAAACACGAAAACCCTTAATTCAGCGGGCCATAAGAGTAAAGCAAACAGACATTCGTGCAATTGCAATTGTAAGTTAGTTTATTATAAAGAATAATTACAGTTGAAAATGTTAATCAGAAAATGCTTGAATATTCTAGATATAGTGTACGAAAATTGATATTACAAGGTAGCCATTTCCTTTTTTGGGTTGGGTTACATTCTCCTCCCAATAGAATTATTAGGTCACCTTATGATCCAACTTGTAGGATAATTTACCCCGTGTTTGGAAAGCTTTAGGAAAAGGATTATCTATTGCATAAAAAGGTTTCTGAAAGACGTACCCATGCCCCTCTTCATTCTTGTCAGTTCTATTAAAAATTATGGCTTTCTTTGCTATCATTAATGGTCTCTAGTCTAGGAAATATATAAAGACATATTTAGTGATATGAGTTTCCTTTGGTGAAAATACATATAAATTGAATTGAAAAGGTATTCTGGGTTCATCCCAACCTCCACATTTTTTGCAAAATGAGAAAGACTGTTTCTGTACAATTGTGATAGCCGTGATTGCTGCTTTTCCCCTTAAGATGAAAGCTTTTATCACTTTCACTAGGAAATGTCCTGTTGAAATGAAAGGTATACGGCAAGAAAAACATATCCTGCCAGCTTCAAGTATAGACAAAGGTCGACAAATGCTACATTCTCCTTCAAAATAGACTACGTGTTGATCTTGCAAGAGAAGACATGGCAGTTGGAGACAAGGAAAAGCAATAGCCCAACTTCAATCTGTCGTTATGCACATAATAAGAATAATTCCATGCTCATGCTCTTTTCAAAAAAGCCCCTCAATAACGGAAATAAATTGATCCCGTAAAGAAAAGGGCGACGAGGGGCTTTTTCATGAAGTCTTATGATCCCTATGTCAACTTTGCGCTTATGCTGTGAAAAAGCATCTTGAAATAATACCATTGCCGAAATAAGTTTCTACCACTGTTCTCTCTCACCAGAACGTTTCCCGACAATACCACTTTATGGTGAGTAGCAGTTTTCTTTTTCGCTTAAATTTGAAAAGCAACGAAATGCCATAGATATATACGTCGAGCCTACGTGATTCTATTGATCGCAAATGAATAATTTTTTGTGTATGTATACAAACACTACAAGCCGCTGCAGCTCGGTATAAAAACACCAATTGATTCAAGTCTCTTTGAAGTGTATTCTAAACTGCTTGGCGCGTAGGAATAAACGGAACGATTCTGTTGCACCCAGTGTGGCATTGTTTTGCCAGGATTTCAAAAATGCTTTAAAATAGAAAACGAAGGAAAACATCTTGGTTTGCATCAAATTAATATGACCAAAACAACCAACATAGCTGTACTTTAAAAAAAGGCTTAAAAATTCAGGCCCCTGATAAAAATCTGTCCTCCGGTTCAAGGGCTTCGAAACAGATCTATGACAAAAGTGCTGTATTTAGCTCTCTGGAATGCTCCACCAATTCAACAAAAAATCAAAAATTGCAAACTACTTTTACTTTCACTTAAAGGTCTAAATATAGAAAAAGAAGAAATAGTCGTAGAACTTACCGATTGTGGTAATCACAGTACCAGTGAAATAAAACGCTCCCGCAAAGTCCCATTTATTTACGCTATCTAGCCCAACGCCAAGGAGACAAGCCTCTTTGTGAGACTCTAAAAGACGAGATACGGCTGAATCAGTTAAATTATTTTCTCTTGAAAACAATAAAAAGATATTGTTGTAATGCTTTTTCATTTTTTCTTCGTGCTCCTGTTCCAGGGCGCTGAAGATCCCGGCGCCGATAACCATGTACAGGATAAGCAGAATTATCAAAACTAAAAGGTGCAATGTATCCTCCTTCATGACCTTCAAATGTGCAATGAAGCAGTAGAGGCCAAGTCAAATCCAAAAGGAAGTTTTACTGTGAAACTGTGCTGTTTGATTACTCCAATTATAAACCTTCAAATACGTTTGATTTCTTGTGAAAACAGAACAATATGACATATGTGGAAGAGCTTTGCGTTCGCGATCGGCTGCGCGTTTTCCTTCCCATCATCAAACGCGAGTCTCAACTCGTAAAATGCTGCATTTATGTCTCTTCTATATGTATTTGCATCTTGTATCGTCAACGTGCTTAATGCAGCGGAGGTTATCCACTCCTTACCAAATGTGAATACGCATTGTTTGAAATCTTGCAGCCGTATTCAATTGTAACTGCTTCTGGTAAATGAACTCGCGGCAACTGCTCCAGTGAAGTAAGTGGATATCAAGTGATCGTAGCTTTGATTGCAGTAATGACCAAGTTTATCCATACGATGAATTTGAGTATTCCCCGTTGTCAGCTAAGGTGCCAAATTAGCTTTAGCCTCACAATAAATCCGTTGTTTGGCAATACCGGTAATAAATGACATAATGCATTCATAAAAATAGGACAGGTAAATTTATGGTTTCTATTTATCAATTTACCTGCAACAAATCGCATATCATTGATGGAGCAACTGAAATATTAGGGTTATATTAAAATTTCGCATTTTTACACTTATATTAATCGGGTGTTTACAATAAAAGCGGACATAATTTCACCGCCATTTATCGCCTGGTGTCCACCGTCAAACACAAGGCACAATACCAGCATTTTGGGTATAGTTTTGAATGAGTTTGTGTTAAGATAATAAAGAAAGGAAAAGTTAACATCGGGTGCTGTGAAATATGTGTTACCATGGAAGCATTGTTTCCAACGAGAAACACTGTCTCTAGTGCATTTTATTAATCCTTGAGTTGAATAGAAGTCCTTAGCAAGAATCCACATATTTTTTCAAGATACTTTCAAGCAACTTTTGCGGTTTTTTTTTCAATTCTACACGGTAGCAGGGACGTAAATTGAGGGCAATAAATTGAGGATGGTGAGGGGTACGAAATTCCCGGGGTGTCTCGATTTTACGGTTACGCGGTTTTTTCAAATTTCTGCCCGTTTGTTTTGGTTTCTTCCCCATAAAAATCGTTCGGTTTTTCGGTTTTCTAATAGTATCGCCGTTAACGGTTTTTGACGTTATTGGTGTGGGTTACCGGGTTTGTTGTAAAGTTGTGCTTTTTCTCTACCATAAGTTTCTCAGTAAACAGTTTTTGGCAATAACACGGTCTTGCTGAATGGAAAGTTTCACTTTACTGTCCTTTACGGTTGGTTACGCTCCAAAAGGGTCTTATTTTCCAACATATCTTGTTGGGGAAGATTTACAGCTGTAAACAAAGACAATTGTCAATGTTTCTATTCTTTTCAAAACATTGGGAAATTTATGTAAAGAGATCCGCTTCCGTTCTAAAGCTATACTTAAATGGGGGGGGGGGGGTATAATTTCACTCTCTGTGTTTAAATTGTTATGCCAGACAGCCAATTATATTCTGAGTGTTTTTGCTTTGAAAACTGAAGTTTCTATATATTTTCGATTGCATAGTACTTGGTTTCGTAACTACTTATGACAAATTGAGCGTACATCTGTTATCAACTTACCTTCATCAAAAATATATTTGCTATTACACGGACATCAAATTTATTTGCCAAAACATATATTTATTGGCTTTTTCTATCCAATTATGCTCGAAGGTAGATAAAAGATGCTAAAGGACGGTATTACGAGAAGGTGGGAGGTATCAGAATCCTGATTACAAGACAAATCCTAACATGAAAGGGGCATTGTTTCGCAAATGATAAAACTCAGCGTGACTTCAGCTGTATTACCACGGCAATTATGCATTTTTTCCCCAAGCACCCCCGATCCGCGGTGTCTGATACATAATATCAAACAGTTGCCTTTCTGGGTATGTCTGATTTTAGCAACACCTTAGAGACCTCCAAATGAGACCGAATCGTCATTTCAGATACAACACAATGAAATTAACATCTGATTAAGTCGACAGTCTAAGGCTTAGACTGTCGACTTAATCAGATGTTAATTTCATTGTGTTGTATCTGAAATGACGATTCGGTTTCATTTGGAGGTGCACACTCTTTAGAAAAAGATACGTCTGAACTGGCAGTTTTAAACTAAACCCAATGTGGCATGCGTTTTGGTATAATTTTTGTATGCAAACATGGAACATCAACAGTAGCATATGGGACGCGTGCGCATTTCACTATCACGATCTTTGTTATTAGGTGGGAACGTCAAAGCTGTGTATGGCATCAAATGTTTACATTCCCAGGTTTTGTATCATTCCGGTGTCAATTTTCATAAAAGTTTTACGTTGGAGTGGCTCAAATATATTTATACCTTTGAACGTTGTCGTCTAGGACCATCGCGCTTTGCCCTTACACATAGTTGACTGCCGCCGTGGCTTGGGTCTTGTAAACTATAGTCCCCTCAAAACATTAACTATGTCAGATGAGGCACAGGATTGGGCAATGTTAAAGAACATTGATTATAAAATGTTTCATACCAACCATCTGACAATTTCTACCGTTTTTCCCTTCAGACCAATTGCAGACAATTCATAATTTGTTGATGCATCAAGCCTTTCCATGATATTCTGCTTTCAAACTCTATAATTGCCAAAAAACAAATTGATTTGTTCAGCTTGGACTTTCCTATTAGTCTCGTTCAAGTATTGCAAATAAAATGTAGTGCAAGGCATATTTTAAGAATTTTCCACTGGTGGGGCATTTGAAAAAAGGGCATATAGATAAAGACAGAATTTACAGATAAACAGGCTTTCAAAAATATTCTAGGGTAATCGCCTATAGAAGCAGCAGTTCCAGGGAAAAATGAATTGAGATTTGAAACCTGTTCAATGAAGATTTCATCCACCAATATCTCAAATAAAGTAAAAAGTAAAAAATTCACCGAATCATAAGGGCACTTAAGTGGTGGGACAAATCTGTTCCACTGGTGGGGCAATGAAAGGAGCTGGTGGGGAATTTCTCCACCATTTTATATGTTAAAAAATGCCCTGTTGTAGTGTAAACTCACAACTCTGTGATGACCTATTTCGTAGGACACTTTGTAAGCGATTTTTATTACTCATTCCAAAAAGGAAGTTTTCAACAACGCATCTTAGAATTTGTGCTTTGTTGTTTCCCCAATATATATTGTGGTATAGAAGGTCAGTGGTGTAGCATTCTTAAGGGCTGTCGAAAGCGGGGGTCTGGGGAGGGGGGTTGGAGCCCCCAATAATTGTCGTGAGTCGTGAGTCGTGTTCCACCTACACAGCTGAGACTTTTTCAATCGAAGACTCTTGACATTGGCATAATGTTAACAAAATTCTCCGTGCAAGTGGGTATTAAATGGCTGTGTCAGTATGGTTTTTACGAAATTTTTGGTTTTACGAAAGAACGGCGTTTTTAAATGGGCTGGCTCTAAGAGTTTGATTGTCCGCTTAGCCTTGATACTCCATGGTTGCAGATGAGCAAAATGGTCTTGTTCTATTGATGGGCAAAATAGTCAGTATCTTATAAGACACCGTTGGTTTTTGAAGTTTATTGACGTAGTCTGTAAAAAAATTTCCCGTTATTAATAGTAGCAGGTTGAGTCTAGCTTACAAGGCCATTTTGGAAAAGCAGAAACAGTAGGGAAGAAAGCTTTCTTTGTAGTGCTTCTGGACCAAGCATTTAGGAGCGCAGGAAGGCGAATGGATGTCAGTTGTATTTTAGTTTCCTTTAGCAACCAACATGGAATAGCAGATCAACCAGTTGGGAACACTGATGTGGGAAACACGGGGTTCCTTTCTACAAGTTAGGTATACTCTCTGAAATTTGTCATTTGGGCACTGAATTGCACAACAAGGGGCTATATTGACAGCCAGCTGTATAGGTGGAATATTCAGATTCTTCTATTTTTTGAATTTCTACCCTAATGGAAATTAATACCACATTGAGAATGGCTAAACCAGTCATCAATTATCTACAAGATTCTATAATTTTTCTTTGGATTGAATATCTAAGAGCACTGCTTGCCCCCTCCGCCCCTTCTGGATGAGGGTAGGAGGGGCAGCTGCCCCTGCGCCCCCTGGGTACTCATACCATTTGGGTACTCATGCCATTAATATTTGTATTCAGAAAGGAAAAGGGCTAGTAAATTTTCGATTTGTATATTGATTCGTTCGGATAAATAAGTTGTGCAGGAAACTGGGCGGCCAGTGCAAAAGTCGGACCAAGATTGTCTGAAGGCAGCAAATTGTATTTATTGATGATGATTGAACCTGCGAAATGTCTAAGTCTCTCGATTCTGCAAGAGTAGTAAAAGGTCCACTGAAGGGAGGGTTGGAAGAAGTACGCAAAGTTTATGACAAGACGTGGTCCAGCATTTGAAGCCAACAATAACAACTACATAATGCACAATAATACTTTTTTGCAAATGATGATGCATCTCAAGCGTGGAAATGCATCCTTGCCACGTGGAATTTTCCGAGTAAACCCCTGTGTCCTAGCAATGTAACTTCTAGTTGATACATTTCCGTAGTTTCAGCCGGTCTATAGCAAAGTTCTCGGTGTAATTGCTTGTTCCTGCTAAAGTATCTGATATAATTGGCCTGTATGTTCTTTTGGAATCTGCCGTCGGCGTTAGCTTGGTCATAACTCATCAAATCTTTGATATGTTTAGCTGATATTCCCACTTTCAGATATATCACATGGTTTTTCAAATCATCCAGTCAAAGTGTTTATCGTTACTTGTGTCTTCTCTCGCGTCCTGGTTGCTTCTCTAGAGTACTACTTTTACGATCCCCTTTGTTTCACCTTCCCGTATTTACAGTTATTTTTTCGCCCGTAATCATATACTGAAAATGACTCTAGCTAGAATCGAAACGTCTAATTTAATTTAATATAATGGATTTGTCTATTTCACGGTACAACAAGGAGTAGTCTAAAACCTGATTTTGTTGAGATGTGACTCATATTAATCTATGTATGAACATGAACATTTACCATTATGAAACATTATCCTTTCAGTGGTGCCTAGTTCTCTGACCGCGCACCACGTTTTTAGTTAGTTCGATTGGCAAGATGGCGGATGTTGTTATGTTTACATTTGTTTGTGTTGAATGCGTTATGTTACCAATAATCCAATGAGTTTTCTCTTAGTTTACCTCCGACATGAGTACAGATTTAACAAATTTGTCTATTTATCGGATTGTCATGATGTAGCAAAAAGTTGTCGAATGTTTAAAACATTATGTCTTTTTTCTTTGTCGTGGTACTTATAATTAATCCAGTCAAAATAATAAAAACACGTCACACATCAATATATTCTTACGACGTCACACTTAATAAAGATCTCGAGGTCATCCTTGATTGATTGGTTTATGTTTTGACTTGAATCTCATCAAAATTGATGTTTGATCGTGTAGAAAGATCTTTATATATTGTAATTACCTCAAATTGTTCTAAAAAAGTATTTCGATGAGAAAGGTTAGTTTTTTCTATAAATGACATTTCTCAATCACTTGATTTTCTTTGGTTGTTCTTCTTTAGCTCTATCAGTTTGAATCATTTCAAACAAAATGTTTTCATTGTCCCATGAGTGTTTTAGCCTGTGCTCCAACACAGGCTAGAATTCTGGATCTAGCTCGTGCGAAGTGGATTTCCGAAATATTTCTTTGCAATTCACAAAAAAGCAAATCATTTGTTTTAATACATTTTAGGTCATTTGCGTTGCGTGACGGATTTTGTATCTATTGCTTTCAAGTCACAAAGGCATTCTAAGTATGTTCCTGTGTTCCCTTGTGTCTAAACTCTTGTTAAAATCTTACTTTTGCTACCCTCGTCATGAATACTTAAATCTGAGACTTAGGATTATTCTTCTGCAACTTGGTTTGCAAATCATTTATCTTAACCAAATAATTGCAAACTACTACTCTTTTTGCTTCTCCTTCTTTCTTCCCCCTTTTTGCTTCTCCTTCTTCTCTTGCAGTTCAACACACCTTGATTCGTTTCTTGGGTCGTGTAAATTACAGTATCAATATACACGTATTTTTTTATAAGAAACTAAGATCCGGTGCTGGTAGGCAGTTTCTTAAATTTTCTGGTCATTTTGCTACAAAAAATTTTTTACATGTTTCTTAAATTCCTTAGGTTATGAATTTTTTAAACGTGCTTCCAAGGTCAAGTAAATAGTTCACTCACTCTCAGATATAAACTAAAAAAGTGATCAAGGAGTTTTGTTTCCCTAGAATGAGTAACTCTGTTGAGATCTGACAACAGTTAAGCTCATTGAACTTCATCAGTGTCAAGTTGGAGGCAAAACAAATTTTTAAATGGAAACTTCTTGAGTGTGCAGTTTACAGAGGATGAATGCAAACTGCATGTCGATTGTAGTGTTGCAATGTACAGTCATGTTTAATGTCAAGACTGTTTCTAGTATCAACTCGGAAAATTAAAACTGCAAATTATAAAAGTTTTTTAACTTTTTTCAATTTGGGTAGGGTTGTTTCTTAACTTTCGAAAAATTGAGCCTACTGTTTCTTATAACCTGTTTCTTGTAAAAAAATGAGTGTAGTATTCTTTTTCTGTAGATAACGAATAAAATTAAATTGTATTGAATATCTTTTTTTTAGTTCTTCATCTTTTTCCTTTAAAGACGAATGTCAAGCTTCTTCACAGCCTTGTGCACTCTCGCGTCACTCCCGCAAATTTTTGAAATTTCTCCAAAGAAGCTCCTTATTCCGTATTCCAACATTTGAGCGGCGGAATTGCGGAACTTGAGCATAAATATTTCTTATTTGAAGATAGCACGGAGTATAAACGAGCGATAATGGCTCGAAGTAAGCAGAAACTTGTATACTTAAGTCACTATCCAATGCTTTCACTATATTGCGCGTGTTAAAGATTCGAAATTTCTAAGGAACGAAAAAGAGGTCTCGAATGCATCCTCCTGCAGTCAGCCAATCACGATCCTGCCTCCATCCAATCATGAACAATAACTGCACGATGGAACAAGTCCTCGACGCGCGCTTTTTTAGTTTTACATAAAAGTTTAGCGTCTGTAAGTTGCTTAGATTTAGATGTCTTATTGATAAATTTAGCTTCTTCTTGGGTTGAAAAAGCAAAGTTAGTTACAAAGTAGAAATTAGCGCTTGGTGCCGCAATTTCCTGCTCAATGCCGAGTTTGAGTCATTCTGGATGCCAAATAATATAAAGTCAAGCCATCCAAAATGCCGTTACTGAGGGGAAAACCATTTCGTCCCAAGATTCAACCAAATGGTCTAAAAGCAGAAGACGAAGTATTTTTCTTCGAGCTAACTGACGAAGTGTTTACTGACTACGAGTAAGTGTGTTGTTTTGTCATTTCTCCTACAACCGCATGCATTATGTTCTTTAGGCCCACCGGCCTAGTTGTGGTAACCGTCTATCCTTCTGTGCTAATTTTACCGGAAAGCAGGCATTTTCGTTCAATTGAAGAATATTTTTCCTTTCCAGTGAATTTTTTGAAAGAGTAATTTTGTGCAACAGTCTCCTTTGGACATGCGAAGGCACGGGTCGAAGTGGCCTTACATACAAAGAGGCCACAGAATCAGAGGAAAGTGTCCGAAAGGCATTGGAAGCTGTCCCTGATGCGACAAAGAGAGCTGTGCTGCTTTTAGTTCATCAAACAAAGCGAAGTCGTATCGGAGATCTTTGTGAAGAGATTATGGATTACCTCAAAAAACGTTACCAGGAAGGGGAAATCGTGGAAGTAAAAGTCAAGGACCAATGGTAAGTTGTTACAATAACTGCTAAATACACATTCTGGTATCAGAAATGTTTAATGGATGAGTTCAGTGAACAGACAAACATGGCTGCCAATCACTTATAAGTCCAGGCACTAGACCCAGTCCTTGCTTTCAGCAAACTTGAGCTACTATGACTGACTTGTTTGTTTCAAATACTTTTTCCATAGTTAAGATTTATACATCATTGACAGTCATAATTTCACAAAAATACTACAATTTGTAGACATTTTTACAGAAATGTGTTCAGCACTGTCATATCCAGTGTTACCATTTGAAATATATATTACCCCCTTCAACAAAACATTAAAGCTCTTCCTGCCTGTTTGAAATAGTTTGAAGAAGACAACAAAGGGGTTTCTTGATTTTAAGAGAAGGATAACCATGTTATATTGTAATATTGCCATCTCTAGGCAGTTTGTTCACAATGATGACACTCAGAAATAAAGTTTGCAAAGTAACATTTCAAATCCCATCTCTTGCATGCCCTAATAATTAATAACTTTCGAGCAACAAATTGTGTCCTGAGTTTATGATATTTTGTCATTTCTAGCAAATTTAATGTAAAAGAAACAAATTTTTTGAAGTTAACTTTCACTAAAGGGGCCAGCAGTGTAAAGAAGTTTTCCTTTTACCCCATGTAGAACCCTATTGTGGCAAACATTTTGATGAGGCTGTTTTCTTTATGTACTTTGGTTCAATGTATTTGTTGCAATCTAAAGGTTTATCGATATAACCAGTTTAAGCTGTTTTTGTTCTTTTATTTAGCAAAAAAGTATACTTTCAATATTTTTAAATGACATCATTCTTGTGGTTTTCTCTCTGATTCAAGTGACATTTCTTTTTTGAAGCTTCTGTTTTTTCCTTCACCAAAGTAATTCCACCCAGATCCCAAAAGTTTGGGTTTTGAATTTAGAAAATTATTTCCCTCCCTATACATCTTAATTTGGCCTTCCTCTTGATGTTTTTTGTTTCATTTACATCTTTCAGAATCTTTTTACTCCAGTTTTTATGCGTTTCTAAACTGGTATAACTACACTTTTATAGGAAACTTGGTAAGAGCAAGAAACTCTCCCAGCTTGATAGAAAAATATCTTACAAAAACATTAATAACCTCCAAACAGGGAGTTTTATGCTGTATTTTCCTTATTTTGATGTGTTACCTTTCTGTTCAATAATTAGAAATCTTTACAAAATGAAATAAGTATTAAGTATCTTCAATTTCCAACTCAAAAATTTTTTTTAATTAATTTTCTGTTACATTTAAGTTTGAGACAGAGGTTTTGATATCAAGAGGTTTTTTTGCCTAGAATAAAGGATTATTTTACTTATGAATCTTCCTAAATCAGTGCCTTTAAAGCCAGCACAATATCCAGTTTTGAAAAAAGATAACAACAAAATCCTTCTTGCTTCTTTATGAAATTGGTGTTTTCTTGAGCTTTTAACTTTTATTCCAGGAAAAGGGCCAAGATCGAGAAAGTCCATGCAACAAGTTCTGAAAATAAATTAGATGGAACTCCAAAGAAGCTAGTTGATGAAGCTTCTCCTAACAAGCAAGAGAATGATACTGGTGTATTGACACCAAAAAAGAAGACACCAAAGAAAGGAGGCAATGATCCCCAAGGCTTAGCATTATCACCAAAGAAAAATCTTGCAGATGAATTTGTATATGAAGTGAAGCCAAGCAAATCAGAGGCTTCATCAGATGTACTGCAATGTAAAGGAAAAGAAATGAGGTTATTATTGAATCTTATCTTTTCACGTAGTAAGTAGAAACTAACAAATGAAGAAAGTTTTTGATATGATGAAAAAAATTAAATAGCTTACTAGTTTTATAAGTAGCCAATAATAGTTGTTAAAAGCATCAAGTCATTGTAAATAAACAGACTCTGTAGAGGGTTTCTTGGTTTCCGCATGATGGCTGTAGTTTCTTGTGATATTGGCATCCGTTGTTGACATCTTGCTATTGACTGAAGCTGTTTTGTTAATCAGTATTGTGCAGCTTCATGTGATCAGTCTCAGGTCCACCAATAGCGCTGCAGCACAAAAATCATGACTCTGTGTATTTGGGTATACCTTCTTCTTTTACCATGACTCAGTGTCTTTAAATTTAGATTTCTTCATTCAAATTATGACAAGTAAATTCTGTTATAACATTGTGATTTGTGCAGATTTATTTGTGAAGAGTATGTTGCCAAAGGTTGGCAGGCATAGGCAGTATGAATCTTTAGCATGTACAAAAAGGTAAACTTTTAACAAAATAGGAGGTGATAATGAATGCTGTTTCCATAGAAGAGAAGCTGCAAACACATACTACTGAGTTTTAATGTCCAGTATCCCGAATCCCTGTAAGTCATATATCTATTTGTTATACATGAATACTCCAACCATAAGCCATTTTATTTTTTACACTAGCCCTCCTAGGAAGCCCGCTTCGCTGGCACCATGTGGCCCTAAGGTGGAATGTTTAGATTAGCCTCGGGTTAACCTCTATTTCAAAAATGAGGAGAGGGCCAGACCTCTAATACCTTTATGATTTTATGCTGCTTATGCTATTTCTAATTAAACCTTGGTACTTTAGGAGATGCAGAGGAGTCTTAACAAGAGACATCATCAGACTTCTGCTAAGGCAAACTTGCAAGAGAACAACAGCCTTGTCTGAAAGTGGTTACTGGATAGTTGAGGTGAGTGTGATGTAGCACACATATATAATGAAAATGAAGGGATTTCGCCAGAAAATGAGGCATTTGAAGGGTTTTGAGGCCCCCCCAAACATTTGCATTTTAAGACTCAGGAGATGACATTCAGCTTATAATAATGTATTTTATCGTTTCAAGTATATATATTTCTAGTGTATTAGGTTGTTTCTATATAGTGGAGTCCTGGTTTTATAAACCCTGTTTAGTCTAACAAGTCCAAAATTATGCTATAAACACAATTCCCTTGTCTAACCACACAATATATATATTGGAAAAGCTTTTCTTGTTAAAATATGCTTCTCCTCTTAAATTTTATCATGATGGAAATCTGGCAAAATATAGAGAAATTGTAAAATTTTCCTGGAAATGGTATTAATCAATCCTCAAAAATGACACTATTTTTGTAAGCACACTGCATGTGGTTATTTATTGTGCTGTGGCACTAAGTGCTCTTTCTTATCATCTCGTTTTAGCCTGACTTTGTTGCCAAATATGCCCTTGGAGCAGCCCATATATCGGGACCTCTCTCTGCAGAAACACCACTAAAACTGAAAAACAAAAGGAAAAGGTCTTCTGGCAAGTTTAACAGTAATGATGATAATTTGACACCTTCAAAGAAGCGGAAATCGTCTGATTCAAATTTGGCGTCATCTTCAGAGGGCAAGAAATCAAAAATACCAAAAGGGAATGTGAATCAGTCTGATTCAGGGGCAAAAAAGCAGAGGAAAAGTTGTAAGTGATCATTTGCTCTTAAACTTCCATAATTCGTCTAATTGGTAATTGGAATTTCCCCTTATGACTACCAGTGTTGAAGGGAACTTTTTATGAGTAAAAGATAGAGATATTTGCAACTAACTAACTGTATTTATATTCTATCTAGTATTATCCTGGTATCTATGTGAAGTTATTTGTTGAAATATTTTCAGTTTCCATCAATGTTTTTTAAAGAATAACTGCCAAAATGAGACCTCCAAACCTCGGAAATGTTTGATGATTCTGTCTAAAGGTGTTTTTACGTATTTGAAGCAAAATATGTTTGTTTTTGGTCAAGATTTCATCTATCTACTTTGATGAGTTATCAGTCACATCACAAACGATGTTCTTAGTTTCTCCTTGATTTATTGACAGTGAGTACAGAACAGAAAGAAGAACAATTAAGAGAGAAACTGAAAAATATGACACCTGCAAGGAAAAAGAAATTCTTGGAAAAACAGAAGCTGAAGGAGCAAGCTCAGAAAGAGAAAATAAAGCAGAAAAAATTAGTGGAAAAAGAAAAGGAAAAGGAAAGATTGAAAAAGGAAAAGGAGGAGGAAAAACAAAAAAGGAAGTTTGAAAGAGAAAAGGTGAAATTTATATTGTTTTTCAAGTCAACTTGTTTGTTTATCTTGGCCAATTTATTAGCAATAAAGAAAGAGATTTCTGTTTAAAGCATCTGCTGTGCCCCTCAATGCTGATTAGGTTTTTTCTTTACCGTGTTTAGAGAAATCAAAACATTATCATATGCTTAATCTTTTCAGGAGAGAGAACGCACAACAGAAATAAGGAAGCTAGAAACCGAATTCCTGAGGGAGTGGACGAGGGTCAGGGATGATCTATTATTGGAAGATCTGAAAGTATGTGTATTTTATTTGCTGTATCAACAAGTGGAGGTCTTTATGTATCTTTTGCGTTTTCCTTTGCTTACTCTAAAGGGAAGGTCCTATGTTTTCTTTGCTTACTCCAAAGGGAAGGCCGTGTGTTTCCTTTCTCTAAAAGGAAGGTCCTTTATTGCTTTGCTTACTCCAAGGGAAGACCGTGTTTCCTTTGCTTACCTAAGAAGGAAGGTTGCGTGCTTCCTTTGCCTACTCCAAAGGGAAGGTTCTTTGTTTCTTTGCTTACTCAAAAGGGAAGGTCCTATGTTATCTTCGCTTACTCAAAAGGGAAGGTCCTTTGTTACTTTGCTTACTCAAAAGAGAAGGTCCTTTGTTTTTTTGCTTACTCTAAAAGGAAGGTTGCATGCATCCTTTGCTTCCTGCAAAGGGAAGGCCGTGTGTATCCTTTGACTAAAGGTAAGGTCATTTGTTTCTTTGCTAACTCCAAAAGGAAGGTTGCGTGCATCCTTTGCTTACTCCAAAGGCAAGGCCGTGTGTTTCCTTTTACTAAAGGGAAGGTCTTTTGTTTCTTTGCTTACTCCAAAGATAAGACCGTGTTTCCTTTGCTTACTTCAAAAGGAAGGTTGCCTGCTTCCTTTGCTTACTCGAAAGGGAAGGCCGTGTGTTTCCTTTGTGTAAAGGGAATGTATTTTGTTTCTTTGCTTACTCCAAAGGGAAGACCGTATTTCCCTTGCTTATTCCAAGGGTGAGGTCCTACGCTTTACTGCTTACTCCAAAGGGAAAGCCGTGTGTATCCTTTGCTTGCTCCAAAAAGAAAAGGTCCTACGTTTCCACCGCTGTACCAAAAGATTCCTTCTATTTCCTTTGGTGCCTCTAAGGTTGAATATTTTTTTTAGTTTATACTCTTGGCGATGTCTAGAGGTTGCTTTTCTTGCAACTTTCATTGTTGTTTAAGATTTTCTAATATTTTACTTTTTATCTTTCGTCTTTTGAATGTTTTTCGCCGTTTTTCTGTCTCAGAATTGAAACCTGCATTAAAATTCCTTATTATTAAAGCTAATTTTTGCATCACTCAGAAATTTCTTCCTCTTGATAAATTTTTGATAAAATCAAAGCCCTTTAACTTGTCTTTTTAAAAGGATTTTTTGATCACACTTTCAAATGGCTGTTTGATTGCTTTCATCTCAATTTTTTTAGGATTCAAAGTCTCTGAACTTTTTCCGTTGCCTTCAGAATTGCTGCCACGGTTATAAAGAATTTTAGCACTCTGCCAAGAATTTTCGAATATTGAAGCGTACTTGCGATCCTCAGAATATGAGAATCTTCGATTTAATGTCTTGACTATCGAAGAACATTGTCTTTAAATTACTATTTATTTGAAAATGTATGGACGTGTTATATTTATGTTTGCTTATGTTTGCTTATGTTTGCTCATGTTTGCTTATGTTTGCTTTTTGCTGCAACTATGATTACATTTCAATGCAGGAACTGCCCGAGCCTCAAGGCTTAGCAACAAAGATGCAGGGTGATTTGTTTGGTGATGCACTGATGGTTGTCGAGTTTCTAAATATATTTGGCGCATTCTACGATATCAAAGACTCGTTTCAACAAGATATAACATATGGTGCGTAGTTTGGTATTATTAGTTTTTTTCTTCTCATTTCAGCGCATATCCAACATCATCAATCGCCATCAATCATAACCATGAGTAATCAGAAATCACCATCACAAATTAGATTTGCAAAACTTGCATAGGAAATTTTCAAATGTCATGGGAAGTTGTAATAGAATAGGTCCCAGGCCCCCTGAGTAACGCCCAGCGACTTCATGTACACATGTGTTGTAAAGAGATTGAGTAACTTTCTGTATGAATGTCTCATGTTTGCCTTGGCCTTTCACCTCGATATATACGAATATTATAGAAGTTGCTCATTGTCTTCTTTTTTGAGACGAAGCTGTTAGTGAATTGTTTGGGGATAGCTTCTAATGGAGGATGTCCTCTGAAGGGGGAATTACTTGAATTTTCTTATCAAGCACTGGCTTGTTTATTTAGATAACATTTTTCACATAATATGGTCACAACGGTAATGTAAAGTGGATCTTATGGCTATAACTTGATGAACTACAGCAAAAGAAAAATGATTTGTGAATTTCATTATTTTGTTTGTAGTTTAATTTTATCCTCAATTACATTAATGTTGTGCCATTAAACGGACAGAAGAGTTTAAACTGAAAGTTTTTTGTTCATATTTATAAATATAATCAAAATATTTCTAGAATTTCAGCAAGTTTACTCTAGATCTCGAGCTGTTCAATGCAGAAATTTTCGATAAAAAAAATTTTCTATTTTACATTATATATTTCTATCATCAGATAAAACTCCTTCCAAGTATAGAATACTTTACAAGGCAACTTTTAATGCTTGTTCGCCGAAGGCGTGATCTTCAATATGATATGATTATCCGTTTTCTTGACTTTATTGGGCCTATTTATGGGGTGTGTGTGTTTTGAAAATCTTAAGAAAAAAGTCTTCTTTTCTTAACACAAACAGTCTATTTTGCATTTAACAAAACGCCCAGCTATTTTGTCACTTTTGCTCATACAGTTTTCTCTTTACCCTTTAGATTGTAAATAACTCTACTTTATCAAAGACCGCCGAGAGCCAGGCCGAAAAATGCTTGAACCCCTTCCTACCCATAACAATAGACCTAAAATGCGTTTGATTTGGATTTAAAATGCATAAAATTTTCTTTTTTAAATTTTAATTTATATTCATAAAGCATTTTTTATCATTCCTAATATAGATATGTTTTGTAATTGCCATGTTATTAAGAGTCATATTTTTTCAGTCCAGTGGCAATCGCCCCCTTGCCCCCTCGCCCCCTCGCCCCCTTACCCCTATCTTGCCGGGCCTGGCGTTGTCATTTTTTTCTGAATGATATTGGCAGGAAAATGTTTCTAATGAATGCTTCGGTTGCTCTTACAACAAGCTTTGTCCTTAAATAGCTACGTAAAGAAGGCCGTTTGCTTTGGAAACAAAGCATTACCCTCAGCTAATATCAACCAATGGTTGGTTAATTTAGTGACTAAATTATACCTGTTCTAATGCAGGCTTTGTGGAAGCTGCCCTTCACGAGCACGATGCTGAGGGATCTTTCTATGATATCGTTAAGTTCCTCTTGCAAACATTCTTCACGATTTCTAAGGAAGAAAACGAAGAGGATGTGAATGACGACGACTCAACGAACGGAACTAACACTCCAGATGAGCCTGAAATGGAACTGGAACAGTACCAGGAACACGAACACGGACACGTATCTTCAAATGCCACTGCTGCCGCTGCCTGGTCGATGCTGCATCAAGGGATGGCTCTAGACGAGTTGACTATAGATCCGTTCACCCTAACTGAAGTACTTCGCTTGCACATACTTTCTTCAGGAGTGAAAATTGGTATGTCTCTGTCTCTATGCCTTTAATTGTTCCATAATACCTCTTTGAAAAGCTGACTCCCGTTCTTTCTTGAACCGGGAAAAGAGGATCCGCCCTGATTTCTATTCAATTTAACTTTCATCACGAATCTTTAATTCCGTTTTTTATGCTAGGCGAAATCTTCAAATGTCGTAGTTTCTTGGCCATTATGTTCAAATTATCTTTGTTAAGGATATTTTTTTCGTTGGTACAAATGAAAATCAAATATTTCAAAGAAGAGGGACAAGAATTCAGAATTGATGCTTGATATTGATTTATTTTTTGACAGCAGAGATTAAGAATCATCATGTTAAGGCCTTTGTAACGAAATTTGTCAGTGACCAGCACTTCTCAATTGACAATGTTTTGAATCTAATAGAAATTTGTTTCATCTTCTTGGCTTACTATACTGAGGATGTAAATTAAAATTCACCCCCACTTTGTACAACGCCCCCACTTTTACTACATCGCCACTTTTTACTCCACCCCCACTTGTTATTACACCCCTACTTTTTACTGTACATCCCCACTTTTTACTCCATCCCCACTTTTTACTCCACCCCAAATTGTTATTACACCCCTACTGTTTACTGTATGTATCCCCACTTTTTTCGTCCATTTATGGCAAACCTCTATCTGTCAATAAATATTCGGCCATTCACTGTTATTTTTTTACCCCTTTTGTAATTAGGAGGGAATAGAAACATGTGGCAAACGAAAGAAGGATTTCAGTTCAGTGACGACCCCTGCGTAGATTTTCGACATAAGGAGAAATCGATTCTCACTACGCTCCACACAAATTGTCTGTACGACCTGCCTATCCAGGACAAGCTTAAAATCCTTTGCGTTCTCTGCAATCAAATTTTGACTTTGACAACAACAAGAGACTATATCGAAGACTCCTTTGAAAAGTAAGTATTTTATGCACCTGCAACTACATTTAAAGAAATTTTGTCATGATAAAAGGAGTGGGTATACCCAAATGCGCCAAGTTAAGATTTTCTTGCTACAATGCTATTGGTGGACCTGACACTGATCACGTGAACACGTCTTGTACTAATTCACAAAACCTAAAACATTCCGTCAATAGCAAGTTGGCAACAACAGAAACTAATACCACTAATAATGTTTACTACTCTGATACTAACGATGTTTTTAAAAGGAGCCAGTTCATGGCTGCTTTAATTAATAAAATTTTTATGCCCCCTAGGGCATGAAAACAATTTTCCTTCCTACGACCGGATCAAAATCATGCATAATTTTCCTGCAAAGAAGGGAAAGATACTAATAACCTCCTAACTGATAAGAATATCAACAAAAGAATGCAGGTGAAAATGTACAAATGCAGATGAAATGAGGGTAGTTATCTTGGATGATGGGGGCAAGAATGAAAACAAACAACATTAAAAACCCCAAGAAGACATTTTTTGCCAAAAGCATAAGAGAAAATTTGTTTTGAAAAGCTAAATTCACCATGATATGCAATAAACAGCAGGGGCCTTGGATGCATCAACAAAGACTATTAAGCCAGATGAAAAACTGTTAATTTTTATCAAACAAGAATTAGTGAAAACATTTTCAAGGGTTCACAGGTAGAGCAACCATTTCAATCTGTACAAAACACATAAACTTAAGAAAAGCTGCTTTGGTCTTCATGTTTCTACATTTAACGAACATGTGCATTTTGCAAACAAATGTGCATTTTGCAAAAGGGTATATTTTTAGAAAAGTTTTCTGAAGAACCTTAGTCATGAAAGATTTCTGTGACCACCCGGTCGCATAGTCGGGTGGGTTTTCATACCCTGATGCCCCCGTTCTCGAAATTAACAAGCCACTGTATATTCAGTTTCCTTTTTTAAATTCTAAACTTTTCCTTTGATAGGAAGTTCTTTTTTTAATTCGAGGGTAAAAGAATTGAAGAAGAAGCTCAGAGAGTTGCAAAATGCAGAACAAAAAAGACGAAAACTTGATTCAGCTGGACGATGGAGAAGGAAAATGGAAGAGAGTGCAAGAAAAAAAGAAGAACAGGAGAAAAAGAAGAAAGAGAAAGAAGCCAGGGAAAACGAATCTAAAGCCGATCAAGGGTTAGTTTATTTACTGATGTCTTTTAATCACTTATGTTTGTGTGTGGTGTGTAAGAAACTCTTTAGTTTTCACTTAATGATCATGGTAACTAAAATTGTTTTGTTTTGAAGACGAGGTATGCGAACGAAGTGAAGTTATAGATCGATGTTATGATAAATTCGATGAAAATGAAGTTGATATGAAAGGCGAGCTACACGATTCTCCTTTTTTACTTCTTTGGCGTCAGTTTGAAAGACCGGCAAAGAGAGGGATAACCCTCCGTACCGCGTTTGCGGAGGTACTTTATCTGATATTATTTTGCAGTAGTGTTTTTCATTAAAATTGAGCACCAATAATTTCCATCGATCTACAACGGTCCAGTTCTTTCTATTAAATTACCAGCAATTTAAATATCTAAAATAGCTTAAATCTGGTAATTTTATGAAAGAGTTTTCTTCCTACAAGTACACAAGTCATGAACTTCGCACAAGAAACATTCTCTATATTTCCAAAGTTAAAACTAACATTTTTGAAACGAAGCTTCTTGGGCCCCAAGATCCGAATATTCTTTCTGATGTGAGAAAACCTTCCACTGATGTACATTTATTTCAATCTCTAGTCAACCACTGGTTATGTGAAAACATATACGCTTGCTCCGCCTGCAATCAAAAGATGCGATATCGCATTTGCTACTATTGCTTTGTATCCATACTGTTGTAACACTAACGTCAAAAGGTTTTTAATAATTATTATTTTTGTATATGTTACATGTAGGCTGTAAAATCTATGTTATATCTCGTTCAAGTATGTTAAAAAAAGACATGTCATGAAGGATGTACCAAAGCATAAGTAAAAAAGATGTCAAGTTTTCTGCTCGCAGCCTTAAATCATTCAGTGTCGCTATCCTATGCCAATTTGCTTCTGGGTAGACAGACAGTCCAAGTAATTGGTTGAGCCCCGGCTTGAATCCGAGACCTTCTCTGCATTGCAATCAATTGCTTTAGCTTCTGAAACATCCAGTCTCTTTTATCTACATTAAAACAGATAATCATCCTATGAAATACTTTATGATATAACTGAGCTCACTCTTGATTCATTTTTCAATTTTAGAACAAGCCCCGCTCCTACAACTTCCAACAAGAAACGCGGGAGAAAATCGAAGTCCGAGGAAGGTAAAATTAATGCAACTGAAAACAAACAACAGGATAACAAAATTGACCAAGATCTTGATATGTCTACGGGTATAGAAGGAAAGAAGGACGATCAACCGGAAGAAGAAAAGGAAGAAGAGCACAGAAAGCGGGAAGAATTCAAAAGGCAAGAACAGGAGTTGCTTGAAGAGATCTCTAAATATTCTTCAATTCGGTCAGTGGCACCGCTCGGTCTTGACCGCATTTACAATCGTTATTGGTCTTTCAGACATGTTGATGGCTTGTTTGTAGAAGCTGATGAAAAGGCGAAACAGCTAGCAGAGAATGTTGGTGACAAGTTTGATGAAAACGAGTATGATTGTAGCGAAGATTCCCAGACGAAGGTATGCTGAGATCCATATGATTTTCCAACTAGCAAATTTTCCAACTGAGTTCTAATTGGCAAACTTTCCCAACGCCCTGTCCTTTGCCAGAGTGTATTTGGTAACAGCTGAGAGAACGTTTTTTTACCTGGGTAATTTTCCACGCCCTTTTTTATTACCAAACCCGCAATCTTGTTCATCTATTCATTCGAATAGATGAGAGTTGTGTTTTAATTGTTGCAGATATCAGCATAAACCTATTTGATTTGCTTCTGATATTTTATTTGGGAATTCCAAAAACCGTGTTTTCTTGAACCTTAAAGGTGGCATCACATCATTAGGCAGAGCGCACCAAGCAAGCGATTTTTACCAGTAAACCTGCATTGTCTTCTAAATATCTTGGTATGCTTGAAATGTCTATAAAGTGTCAGTAACTCTTCGCCTCCCTCTTCGCCTTCAAAGAATGCTATTTTTATCGTGTTATGCTTCCTTTTCTATTGTTATGAAAGTTATTTCTGCAATAAATATCATTTTGGGTGAAGTTTTGATTGATCCGTTTTACCGGCAGCTTTTATTTTTAACAGGATATTTTCACTACAAGGGCATTTGTAAGACTTTTGGCATTGATTTTGGATTGACATAGCTTTATATCTCGCCCCTTTAAGTCACCATCTCACATTTTAATCCCTGCCCAATGTGTCTGTATAGATTTGTTCAATTGCTCAGCATTTCTTAGCTGTTTTGGTCGGATCTTTCTGCATTGATTATTTGCATTATTCCAAAGGGCATCGACGACGACTTTGCCGAGACAAAGCAGGACTCTGAGAGCAGAACAGTATTCCCTAAAGTGTCGCTTAATGAAATCATAAAACTGAAAAACGACGGAAAACCTTTTTGTGATACTTTGTTTAAAAAATATCGATGTAAAATGGATGACCAAAGACGTAAGTTGATTCCTCATAGTAAAGTCATTAGTACTGTAATAGAAAATGTCAGGAAGGGGATGGATCCACACGTTTACGCGAAGAAATGTCGCTACCCATGGTCTGCGTATGGAGCAACAAACGAAATTGACCACTTGATTGACAGTTTAAGCCCAAGGGGACGACGCGAATTCAGACTGAAAGGAAAATTGGACAAAATCTCGGAGAAACTTGGAATGGCTATTGGCAACTGTACGCTCTTGACAGCAGTTAAGGAAGAGGATCATGGGAAGACTCGGCAATCAAAACAGGAAATCGACAAGTCATTGTTTAAGAGTATGGAGGATTTCTTAGAAGCAAATCTACGTGATCAGCTGCTTGAATTTGAAGAGAGACTTTGGCTAGCCAGTTTAGGGATTATTAAGGTCGATGATAGGGAAAAGTGGCGAGAACAAGTTGGAAGCAGAATTAACGAATTATTGTCTGGCTGTGTGGAAAACGATGATTGCGGAAGGAAGATTGTCACTGAGGGAGACATTGACAATGCGGTGGAACATAAGGAGCCTTTACAGTTTTCAGAAGATGCAGAAATGAGACCGGCTGAAAATGGTCAATCGCCCAAGGAGGACTTTCCAGATAAAGACAAGATGGAAGTCGATGAAGGTCCAAATACCAACACCAAACTGGATGATTCCTTAGGCAGTGAGATTGGCTTGGATTCTACCCCTGTCGTATTGCAAGACTCTGCATTTAAGAGCCTAACTTTGAAGTTTATTGAGAAGAACAATCCAAACAAGGAAAGCTCAAGATGCAGTACCCCCGTCAGTATTTCCACTCCAATGATCAATCCAAGAGTTAAGACGTTGGCTACTGCATTATATCAGGTGGGTTCATGTCACCGGAATCGATTTAGATATTGTTGCTTTTACCAATTTGTGCGGGCCATATTCCTACTCATTGTGTGATATCTATCCTATAATTTAAGTATATATTGAAATTGTAGTTCAAGCATTATTAGTAATTTTTGTTGAAGGTTTTTCAATTTATGGAGCACAATCAAATTATATCAATATTGTACAAACGTAGCTTATAATGATACCTTTACTTCGCTTTGATAGTCGCAATGGCTCCGTTAAGCTTCATTGTTGTTTTTCCCATCTCATTAATCACGTCTCCTTCTTGTTCTGCAAACCTCGGTAGATTGAAAGAGGAATTGATCCAAAATACCTGAAGCCTCCTCTTGGTGAAGACGAAGAGACAAAACGTGAAAGAATCCGAGAAATGATCGAAGCTGCGCACGCGGATGGAACTGAGAAGACGGACAAGCCAAAACGTGACGACAAAAAGAAAGCTCCTAGCACCAAAGCTGATTTGAACGGAACGGACCATGTGTCAGAGGCTGATGATGATAAAAAGAGTGTTACGTCGAATGCGCCGTCTGAGGAGTCGTTGAGGAAAGAGATAACGAGTTTGGAAAGATGGGAAGCTTCTTTGAATGCTGCAACCAACTTTTCGCAACTATTTATTCATCTGAATACACTAGACAGATCGGTTATGTGGAATAAATCGGTGTTGAACGCAAGATGCAGAATATGCCGAAAGAAAGGTATTGTTGTTGATACTGATGCTTATGAGTATTTTCATCTTGTAATTGTAAAAAAAAATTAAAGAACACTCGTGATCTCATTACCTTATTTTCTCGTTTAAAATTTATTGATAAGTGTGCTGTACTGTCAGTTATATGCTTGCCATATGGTTTTGTCAGGTCATGATATGAATATATAATATGTATATTATATATGTATATATATGTATTGGTGTTATTTAATATCAATTGTGGTTAATAATTCTGATGATATAAATCTAAATATCATCCTCCCTTTATAGTAGATTTGCTCGGGTGCTCGCTAACCTCTATTTATAACTCAAATGCATAGCTCCTTATGACTGACTTCAAAATTTCCTGAAATTATACGAAAAACAGAAATAAATTACAACATCATGCAATATTTTAAGCTCTTGTATCTGGCTATTCAGGACGAAATTGAATCGTGTCAATTTTCCATAGGTGACGCCGAGAAGATGCTGTTGTGCGATGGCTGTGATCGTGGCTTCCATATGTATTGCTTGAAGCCTCCTGTTAAGAAAATTCCTGAAGGAGATTGGTTTTGCACGGACTGCAGGCCAAAAGAACCAAAGCGGATGCAGCGAAGTAGAAGGAGACCAACAAAGCTGGAAGAATTTGTTGATGATATTGAAGAAGATGCAGCAACAGAACAGACTGATGAAGTCGAAGATGCTATTGAAAGTGACGAGGAAGAAGATGACGAAGAATCAGGTGAAGGTTTGTTTTTTCACTTTTTCTTCAGATGTTGATGCAAGCTCGTGCCGCTGAGATTTTCTATTAAGATGTTAGGAATTTGCTGAAATATTCAGTTAACGATACAATTAGCAGTCACATATATATATTGTTTGATAACCGTTTGAAGACACCAAGCAAAAATTCTTAATGTAATGCAAAGAGTTACAAAGTAAGATGGAAAATAATCAATAGTTCCACTATTATCGAATTTACTCTCTACCAAAATTAGAAAAGGTGGATGCTCCTTAAATGTCATTCTTTTGGGGGCTATCCCAACGAGCTGAATTCTTGAATTGGATCTTCAGCTATGAGTTTATTGGGAAATGTTATCTTTGTGTAATTGGAAAAAAGGAATGCTAAAATGTACTTGCGATATTGGGAAAATGTAATGCAACAAATTTCTCAAAACTACACAATAAGAGTGCACTACACAATAAGAGTGCATTTTTTGCACTCTAGTATAGTGAAACATTTGAAAAACTTTGAGGGATTTTAAGGGTGGATACTACATCTCTAGGCATTTTTCCCGAAATAACCTTATCAAAAGACTTGTTAATAGATCATTCTTTATTAAATTATGTCCGTGGCTGCATAGCATAGGTTAAAAATCTTTTATTAGCTGAGCGACGTAAATTCTCCATACCGCATTGACAAATAAGAATTCAAGAATTTGACAACAGACGTGCCACACAGATAGATTTAGGCCTATTTTGCACTATTTTGCACCAAAGCTAAACGTGTGAAATCTGTTTAAAGATGATCTAAATTTGTTTTGAAAAGCTGATTTTTTGATAAATTAAAAAGCTGCCGTTCCACTCAGTAAAAATTTCCGCGATCGTTAGTTACGAAGGCTTTAAATTATCTCTTTTAAACCCTTCTACTGATTAGGGGTGGGGGAGTAAAGAAAAATCACAGTTTTTAAACTTTCAAAATTGTTTTCACTAGAGTATCTTGAATTTCTTAAAAGCTCCTTTCTATCTGTACTGACAACTGGAGATATGCTATGAAATTCGGCCTCCTATTTGGATAATGATTCGACTCAAAATACAATATTCACGCTTGGCAACCAATAGGAAAGAATACAACCTATTCAGTTGCTCTGAATCATTCATCTGAATCATTGAAAATATTTTCGTTGCAGAAGATGAGCCGGCTGACGAGCATGAAGATCATTGTGCTGTCTGTGAGGAGCATGGAGACTTGCTTTGTTGTGACAGCTGCTCCCGTGCATTCCATTTGAACTGTGTATACCCCCCTATTCGAAAGGTACCGCGAGGAGACTGGTCTTGTCAAGTATGTACTGGTGCTGAGTTGGATCTATCGAAAGCCAGGAGGGTCACTACTAAAGAGCGTCAGAGAGGTGAGCATTTGCTCAGACTTGACTGGACTCATTCATACATACATTTTGAGATCGTCCTTTGGTAATACGTAGCAGGCTCTGAAGTCCCCACTCCACATTTTTCTGTTAAATTTTCTCGTAGAATAAAGCACGTTTTAATTGCATCGTATTTATTAAACAAAACGTCTGTTGGTATGGGTGCTCAGTTAAGGTTTTTTCACAATTTTATTAACCCAAGTCTAGACATCTAGGAAGTGAGAATCTTGTCACCTATCACATTCTAAAATTCCTGCCATCTAGGAATATATCTGTTAGTATCTTCCACTGGTAATATCTTCTGTGACATCTACCTTCGAATATTTCTTTTGCAACTTTTAATTTGGCCACTAATTTCGTAGAAAAACTGAAAAAGCTAGAGTCTAAAGGCAATGATTCAAAAACGAAGAAATCTACTCGAGGACCAAGCGAAAAAAAACGATATTCTTCACCAGGACCGGCGAGAAGTCGTAGACAACGCGAATCTTCTGGAAAACAAGGTTAGCATTCAAGCAGCATGTTGTTAACTCTCCGGTTAAGCTCGTATCTTAGATTGTTTACAATTTAGCGATGTGCTTATTCAGGGGGGGGGGCTGATTAGTTGTTAATTATTCCTCCTTAGCCCAAGCAGCAAAAAGACAATAGTTTCTTGGGAAATCAGTTCGATCTAGGCTTTTTAAAAAAGAAAATCATTGGGTCCCCTACTCAAGGTCAATATAATTGTTAATTTCTTTGTCATTATCACATCTATCTAAAATAGGTGAACGCTCGCTCTAGAAAAACAGTATTTTATAGGGTCATTTTATTTCTGTAACTATATCTTGTTCAGAATTTTGAATGTTTCCATTCGCCTCTCTCAATTAAGACTTGTCCTGTATGATAACAGAAATTTTAATTTCCTAGCCAAAGTATGAAACAATTCTGCAGGCAAATGTTGCACAAATTGTATACTCATTAGCTCAGCGAACATTTTGGTAGTGACTGCTTTTATATGTTCGTTTTTTAGTCCTTCTGGCTTTGGTGCGCTTCAATTAACAACATGCGGTGAGGCTTCTTTGCTAAAGGATCGTGTTTCAGAAATGATATTGTTTTTTTTTTTAATTTTAGAAAACGGTAGTCGACCTGGTGCCGGTTCGAGAAGATCAATTGGGGATCCGACGGCAAACAGCAGTAGAAGAAAATCAGAAAATTTTGGAAGATACGAGCGAAGACTTTGCTCTAAATTAGTGGAAGAGCTCTTGGCAGCAGATGATGCAGAACCGTTCTTATTGCCAGTCGATACAAAAGTGGTAAGATCTAGCATCAGATTTTTATATAGATTTAAAGGTTTCTCAACCTGCTAACTATGCCAAAACTCCATAGTGAGCCTCTGGTACCGTAAATGTTCATTTTATAGATGTAACGTATTTTGCAGATACCTATTCGAATGCATCAACACCAAAGCATTGCATTTTCAAATAGGCCATTGATATTGTCACTTCTTATACAATAAAAAGATACCACAATTGTTTCATTTTTCAACCACAATTTCAATTCCATTTCTAAAAAGCCCTCCCATCTCGCAGGGAAAATTTTCCCGAGGCTAAGTGGCCGCGTGGTACACTTTGAATTGATTAATACCTGAAGAAATTTTCAGCAAAATTGACCCCGCTTACATGTAACTATGGAACATTGTCGTGTTATACCAAGCCTTCTTAAAGTTGTACCTTTGTAAAATTTGCTCCTCTGTAACACTCAAACACTTCTATTTTAGGTTCCAGATTACCTTGATTTCATTGATCACCCTATGGATCTGAGTACCGTGAAACAGAACCTCAACAATGGATCCTATGGCTCTCTGCAACAGTTCCTCGATGACGTCAGACTAATGTTCACCAATTGTGAAACGTACAATCCGCCTCGGTCAGGGGTTGCACGCGCTGGGTCTCGTTTATCAATTTATTTTGAACAGAGGCTGTGTGAATTAGAACTTGTTGAAGTGTAATTTACAAAATTGTGCCTCTTTTCTGTTGTCAGTGTAATTTTCTTTTTTGGTCAAGTTTAATAGCCACGGCGTTCATCCGTTACTTAAAAAATTATGTTTCATTTGTGATTCACCAGACATCTTCCTTCTTTTGTTTCGTGCTTAAATTTTGTGCCATTACTAGGGTTTCAAATCATATCAATAATTTCCTCAAAAGGATTATCTTCCCTTTCTGATGTTGCAAAAGATATAACATCCACACAATTCTCAGAAATTGATTTTTGTAGAATCCCATTAATTTACGGGAATTTTTGTGAACAAAATGTGTTGTTTGTATTCGTATTGTCAGTGGTTTTTTATTAAGTTAATGCCCTAAACAACGCTAGGTTATAAAGTAGAGTTATAAAGGTTATAACTGCTTCTTATTGTTACCTATTTCAATTTTTCTCTTGCGTACGACGCAATAAAGGTAACAGGCGACTTATGTCACAGCAGATATGTGCCTAGCTTTATTAAATAATGTTCCTGCTTCCCTTGCATGCTTCTCCCATCCCACAGGTTTACACTGCAACATGCCACAGGTCAAATTAATTTCTCACGACTCTCCCGATTAGCACACGATCACAACTACCCCGTCCCAAATAATACACAATCACCCCCCCTCTCCCCTTAAAAAAATATTAGTGCATGATCACAACATTACACAAAGCTTATGAAAACGCCTTCAAATAGGACAAGATCAGAGCCCCCCTTAAAAGCTATCAGCATTTACCAACAATAATTTACGGTTACCCAAGATTCAATGATTCCGTTACACCCAACATGCCAGGTCTGATATTTCATTTTACACTTTGCCTTTTCTCCAAACGTGTTTCGTTGGCACTTATTTTATGTCTGGATGAGCTAATTATGGGACAGTGAGTTTGTGGTATAATGAGAAATATAATATTAATACGAAAATGATCTGTTTTCTTTTCGAAATGTTTTATCAAATTATATCAGTTTCATGTTAAAACGGTTTGCAGTTAGAAATGCAATTTGTTAGAAATGCAATTAATTAAATGGATATTCATAAATAGCTGGTGCTATCCTGGATGCAAAATCATTTTCTTATGAATTTACAAATCTGTTGAAACAATAATGTGACAGTTTTACATTTTGTCTCTTTTTCATTCTTCTCTTAGACTTACTTCATGAACCTCTGTTTCACTACTGCCTCAATTTATGTACGCTACAACAGGCTCTATACCCTTAACTGATAGTTGCCAACCTTAATGATCTCTTCTGTTTACAAAGTAATAGATTTTATCTTTATATAACACTAGGCAGTTCTTTGAATAATGGTAAGAAATGACTTTGCTTAGAAACAACGCAATTTTATTTTCTTTTCCATCAGCATACTCCCTCAATCTAGCCCTTAAATCTTTAGTTGGATTGCAGACATCAAAAACCGCAATATTCCTCCCCACTTTTAAAAATTCCCGAACATCGTACAAGAGGCTTAGTTTGATGCCTTTCGCTTTGGTTGCAAGCGTTCTAATAGGAATCGGCCATTTGGAAAAATATACCTTGCACCTTTTTAGTCCACAAGAAATTATCCTGTCAAAGACAACTTTGCCCCATCACCCTATAATTGGGGATTAAAAAAATACCGAATGCATTGCAGTTTGAATTTTAATCAACTTTATTTAAGTTTCGAGTAACTTCTGTGGAAATCTTCAAGATTCAAGCATGCATTATATGCACATGTATCCGCGAAAAGTTTATAATATATGCTAAACATATCTACCCACGAAAAATGAAGCTTACTTAAGTGATTTGGAGGTTAATAGTAATTTTTCTCGGGTGTGAAACCGTTTTCTGCATGCAGATTCACTAAATTTATTCATGATAGCATATTTTCTTACTAGATGAGTAATCACATTTGATCTGTTAAGCCCAGGGGTGTAGTGCTAGGGGGGCTGAGCAATGAGCTGACAGAAGACAATCCCTCAAAAATAATGCAATCCACGACGGCTTATTAATTTTAGATCTCCCATCTTATAGATTGATTTTGTTTACTGCACCACTCCCTCCCCCCCCCTATTAATGTATGGCTTTTTTCACCCAAAATCAAACACAAAATAATTGGAAAAATTTGTATTTGTATTCTGTATTTGTTGCTACCTAGCATCCGAAGGTAGTTTTTAAGGACACTGAGAAGCTATGCTAATCGAGCAGTGTCCTGGTCCTTCCTCTCGATGTGACCACACCTCGTAATTCCTACGCCTGGAATTAAATAAATGGAAATTAAGCCATTTAAGGTTAGTTTAGCTTTATCCTCTACAGAACTCTGCAGTGACTGTAAGTAAAAAACGCCAATGTGATATAATTAGAAAAAATGACTACGTCGATATGCCCAAACATATTCGGATGTGCTTTCTTTTGACTGGACAGGAGAAAGATCGAAGTTGTTCTTCAAAGAAAAAAGTGCTTTCTTTACTTCATGTTCAAGTAGTTGATTTTTTATAGAAGAAGAGACGCTTATAGCATCAGCTTGTCTGGTTACCTAGGGGCTTTTTAGACCAAACGGGATCTCGTTGATACAAATTATTAATAGAAGAGGTTATTAATTTGCCTAATTAATTTAAGGCAAGACCCCTTTGAACGTGTTGTTCTTCCCTTCGTGAATGATTTTAATAAAACCGATGTATTTTAATAATTTACTATACTGTTTTGACCTATTCTTACACAGTAGATGTTTCAAATTAAGTCGCCATATTGACGAAAATGGGGGACCCCTTCTAAGTGCCCTCACCTGAAGTTGTGTTTACTTTTTATATACATAAGCAAATCAGGGTTAATCGGCAAAAAATCATGAAGGCTATCGCATTGACAAAACAAGGGACTACAGCTATCATTTCGTCCATTTACGTTATTCAATTCAGAACTGGCTATTACCGCATAATAGGCATGGGCATTGAATTCAATTAAAAACCGTTCACCGCAGACTTTTTCAATACAAAAATACCGCAGATTATCGAATTACCAACAGAGAAAAAGACAAATACCGCAATACCGTCAACCCCGAAGACCCCCTCCCCTCCCCCTATAATTCGATCACCACGACGTCCAAATGTAACAGCATTGATTCAGCTGGAAAATGCTACCTTGGGAAATGTCTTTATGATACCTGTTCATCGGCTGTGTCTGGGACAATTGAACTATTTGTGGGTTTTGTTTGAATCTTTTTCATCTTTACACTAAGAACTTTCCTTATTTAGAATTTTGTTAGCCTTTGGATTAGGACTACATTACCGACTGCATCTATTTTTAGGTTCAAGGCTCAAGAGATTTATCTCACTGTAGCCACGTTTTTGTTTGCCAGTGTAGCGGGATCTCGACTGCAGGGACTTTCAATCCAGTGGAAGAAGGAAACAAAGAGTATAGTGGCACAAATTATACAGCAAAAAACATGAAATTAAGAACAAATGAATAATAAAATCGTGATTCTGCTATTAAAAAGGTGTTTATTTGTGTCATCTTTTTCTTTGTATTCTGACTGTCGTACTCTTCTGAATCTTTAGTCTCTCTGAGTATTTTAAGTAAAAGATTAAAGGTACATTCGACGAGCGTGTATTGTGCTAGTTTGTTTCATTTCAAAAATGCAATGAGCGGATTATTTAAAAAACAAATATTCTTCTGTGTGTTTATATTAATAAGATATAAAAAATCTTTTTAGACTCGAAAATTTATAACAATATTGAGGCTAGGGAAAATTTATATATCTTTATAATGAAAATTTATAGTGCTTTTCCTTTATTTTGGACTTTCTCAAGGAGTAATATTGATAATGAGAGTTGTATTGACATATAACAATAAATTTTAAATGGAATTTAGTTTTATTGCTGGTCTGAGTATTAAAGTAAATTTATGTTCATTTTACATTTTATGATTGAAAGGAATTAATTGACATTGAGCACAAAATAGCCATAGTTGGGAGGTGAATGTATTTCAGACAGTGCGAATCCATATGTATTCCAGCTATAGAATAAAATATATTTTTCTCTAAATTCAAACTAGAATTTTTCTCGATAAAAAGGTAGATTACAAGAAGATTTAGTATGCATAACAATTTTTTTATTATTTGTTATTTTATCTTTATTACCTAGATGTTACAATGCTTGGTATTATATTATTATTTTACCTAACCTTATCGAAATCATTTATTAACAATAACCCATAAACTGAGCCATTTTTTGTAAATTTTACGAACTTATGCTATTAGGTATTTCAGCTAAAGCGTAGTACTGAAAATTCCTCAGCTGTCAGCAAAAATTGAGTAGTTAAATTTTCTAAGCAAATCTTAAAGTTTTCTTCATATTTCTATGAAATAAAGCTAGGATGAAATACAATATAGGACTACAAAGATGTCAAATAAAGATGACATGAAAGGAGGTGACGTTGATAAAGTTTGTCAGGGTGTCAAATGTAAGAAAAAATCAGATTTGAAGGATTTGTAGTCGTCATATGCATAATCGAAGTTCAATTTCCATCCAATAATGTAATGCGTGCATTCAAAGATTTAGAATTTAACTTTCGTAGCCTATCCGAGTACTTCTTTGCTTATACAGCACGTTCTTACAAGAAATGTATGTAACTTATTAACTTACCCGTGTGATCCAAAGTTAGACACGACTACTCATGAAATTTTGATATGATCATCATTCGGTGGCAAAAATTTAAGCAAATTTCCACTTTTGAATAACCATCATTCTTCTAAATGGAAAATTTCGTCATCTTTGAGCCTGCAAGGAGGCAGACCATGTTTTACTTAAGGGATTGGCTTCCACGTCGAAACCCGAACTTTCACTTCTCAGAAAAAGAACCGGAACTAGTTTCTGTACCAAAAGCATACAGATGACCAAAAGCTAGCCATCAGTAGCATAGAAGAGATAGCAGGACACCACAGTTTGAGAATAATAAGAACACTAAGGATTGTTCATTGAAAACAAAGAAATATTATGATTTTGGAGGGGCACAAGCACATGAGCCCCCTAAGAACAACTGCAGTTACGATGCTGATTATGATAGCTCCTTGAAAAGTCTTCTGTTCGATTAAGATCCACACCCAAACAACAAACTATCAATCTTCAGCTAGAAACAGAAAGGGGGTATACAATTAAAATAATTCAGTTATGTTGCTTCAGGGCCTCTGACGAAGTGTGGCCTGAGGCCACAGCCCCCTTCTTTCGCAAAACTTTAGAGCTTTTTTCAAAATCTTCTCTTATGATTGGGAAGTTTCCCTTGGCCCACCCACTTTCCAACATGCTTCGGAGCCCATGCGTTCTCAATATAAACTATTCGTTCAGCATTCATAACAAGCTATGAAGTAAATTGCCAATGGAAGAAGGGGTGTTTGAAAAAATGAAAGGTTAGGGTTTATCTTTTAAAATCTGTTTATCTTCTCTAATGTCATTATTTTGTGAAAATAACAGCAAAGATAATACCAGAAAATTTCACCTTCCCAGTAAACCCTCTACAATTTTTATGCGAGAAGCTAGCAGACATTTATTGCTAGAAGTTTCGGTCCTTTTTGAAATGCCAGAATATTGTGAAAAATCCCATTTCCTTGCTTCTCCCCACAAAATCTATTCACTTAATGTGAGTATAGCAACCTGAAAAGCCTTTTGCTACTTTGGCCTCCCGCCCGTCCGCCAATTTTCAAAATTGCGTCAGATCTCATTTCGTGCATGGTGTTAAAAAAATTATGCAACCAACCTTTGTAAACTGATTGAAGGGATTTTATCAAGTATGCATTTCAAAATTTTGGTATCTTTGAAAAGTTTATTTATTACCATGGCAAGCGTAAGATTCCGAACTGCAATGATCACATGATAACCTGGCTTGTTTCCAGACTCCCAAAAATTTGTTTTTTTCTCTTTACAATTGAAGCATGAAAATTGCGATTTAGGCCACTATGGTTGATGCTCGAAGAAATCGAAAGTCAACCAGGAACTTCTCAAACAGGGATAATTGCCTGTAATGTGGAAAAAACATAAAATGTTGCTGTAAAGCGTAAAATGATTAATCGTATCAGCAGTGTAAAAACAGATCATCTCATTCTGGAAAGAGAGTGCTTTGCCTCACGCGTGAGTTGTTTGGTTTCATGTAG